GTCTCACAGGAGCTGTTGCTGCCTGGGACATGGTGAGAGCCTGAGTGGCTCTGGTGCCATCTCACCAGCTTTCCCAGGAGGAATGCTCTGGGTTTCATCACCCCACGTCGCCTTCTTCTCCCCATTTTGGAAGGAAACTGCTGGCCTGTGGCAAACCTTGTACAAAACATGTGGAAAAAGTAAGAGCTCCTGGGAAACAATGAGGAGGAAACAAGCCCAACATCAGATGGAGCAATTAGAGCCCATGAAAGACTTTGCCGGCTTTTATTTGTCAACGTGTGGGCCCAGTTTATAATGAGGAGTATTGTAGTTTTCTCAGGGTGATAATAGCCAAAAAAAAAAAGAAAAGAAAACCCTACAAAAAATGATCTCATGCATCCGCATGAAGAGAAAGAGGTGGCCTGAAAAGCACCAAAATAAAGGGCTGTAAACCGAAGTCCGAGAGCAGCATGTCCAAGCCTGAGCTACCTCATTAAATTGTGATTAAAAAGAAATCTCTGTCTGCTCTCACCTAATTTCCTGCCTATTGACGAGGGATTATTCAGTGCGGCAGTGGGATTATTGCACAGCCTGTAGCGACGGGGGAGTTCCTTCCACCTTCATTGCTGTTCATCCTTCCTTATCTTGGGGATGTTCTTCGTGATCAGATCTGCTCATCACATTACTGTGTGCATGGTCAAGTCCACACTGGCTGATTCTGGGGGACAACAGCAGCCCAGGCACTCACTGCTCCCTTGGCACCAAAGGAGCCAGCCAAAATTGCCTGGGATAGCCAGGGGTGGGTAAAGAGGACACCTGGCTGCTGCATTTTGGAGGGAGCCGAGTGCCTGGAGAGGGATGGGAGGGCAGGGATGATGCTGGCCGGTGGTGTGCCCATCAGCTCCCTGGTGCTCAGTGTGTTGTCTCCATCCAGGAGCCACATGGCTGGCAAGAGATGCCAAGAGGAGCTGGGGCTCCTGGGCACCTCCATCAGCGGGCAGCCAGCACAGAGCTGCTCTCTCTGGAAGGAAATGCTGGAAGGCCTTTGAGCAGCTCAGCCTCTCCCTCTGCGGCTCAGGCTTCCCATTGGTGGAAGAGGACGGAAAGAGAGGGCCATCCTTCCCAAAACCCCCTCCTATCTCACCGCACACGGATGGCAGCTGCAAACCCTTGTGGGGATGGCAGGGGTCGCATCCTCTCTGGCTTGCAAATGAATGAGGGCCTGTGTGGGCCCCTGAGGAGCTGAGGCTGGATGGTCGCTGATGCACGCACATGCACACACCCGTGCACTCCTTTTCTCCAAGAGGCGTTGCAGGATGAGCCAGGCCAAATGGGGTTTGTAGCCCCAGAGGAAGCAGCAAGGTGGAGGGGATGCTATGGTGGATGTGACTCTGTTCTCTGGGCATGGGCAGCCTGTGTGCTGCCCGTGTGACAGCAACTTTTCCTGTGTGTTAGGTCACCAAAAGCAGCCCCGCTGAGCTGCAGCCAGCCAGCTGGGCACAGCTACCAGTGCCCAAATGCCCGATGTTGTGGGTGTCTGTCTAGGGGAGAAAAAATCCCTGAGGGCTTCAAGAGATGCCGGGAGGGCTGCTGCGGGATTTCATAAGCAGGAAAGAAAAGTGACGGCTGCCGGGAGCAGCCCACTGTTGCTGCTCTAATTCTCACCCACTCCCCACGCCAGGTGATGTTGAAGGGACGGGAGCGAAGCCTGCGCTGCCTGGGCATGACGAGCGCACTGCTGCTCTCCAAGGGGTCTGGCAGAGCTGCCAAAAAGGATGTTCCAGTCTTGGCTGCCCAGGGCTGTACGTGCCCAGCTCTGCCCTCCCTGACAGCCTGTATGCTCTCTGGTTGCAGGCACTACCCCAGCAAGGCTGGCCACGGTCTGATGGACACCTGGTATGACAGTCCCATGCCCAGCTACTCTCCCACCAGCCGGATGGTCCCCAGGGAGCATGGGAAGATCTTCCCGACTGGTAAGCAATAGCCATTTCCCAGTGGCACTGGCAGCCTGGGGTGGCTTGGGGCACTCAGGGAAGGGAGCTGTGGTCCTGGCAACAGCACGGAGGTGATACTCAGCTTCCCCGGAGGGCTGCAGAGCTCTCGGGGGCAGGGGGCCTGTAGGTGCCTCTTGATCCATCACTCCCTCCTGGCTCCACACAGGTTCCCCTGACACCAAGGCGGAGGGGCTGGAGGGGCAGATCAACAGGCTGGCTGAGCTGATCGGCAGGCTGGAGGACAAGGTAAGGGCCAGCGTTTCTGTGTGTGGGGCTGTCCCTTGAGTGTCCCTGCAGCCCCACCACCTCCCTGCCCTGGCTGGGACGGAGGTGACCGAGAGGTGGCCATGCCCATCACTGTGCCGTGGCATGCACAGGCTGCTGGTGGGAGCTGCGTTGCATGGTGGTGGTGGTGTTGAAGGATATTATGTTTGATGAGCTGACAGCAGCTATTGAATGTGGAACAATTAACTGTGAGTTATTTAAACAAGAAAAAAACATAAGCTAGAAGGCAACGTCTCTTACAGAGGCGGTCTTACTCCATCTAGGGACTGAAGGAGAAAATGTTGCATTGCAGGAGATGTTTCTGAAATCCTCCTTGTTTGTACTTTTGGGGCAGAAGGGGACAGGGTGCTGTACATGGGGGCAGAGAGGTGCCATGAAGGTTGAGGACAGAAAAATGTCAGTCATGGTTGCCAGAGGAAATAAGTGTGTGCCCAGGGCTGGGAAGGCATGAGTGGGCACTGAGGAGGGGTGGGTACCCCTGCTCCTGCCGCCCCAGGGACTGTGAAAAGCACAGGGAGCTTGTGCAGAGGGTCTCTGTGGGAGGGCATGAAGGTGCAGACAGCTCTCAGAACCATTCCCTGCAGAGAAAGGGGCACAGACCACCGTGCCAAGCACTGGGGACAGAAAACCACTGGACATAGCCTCAGCCCCCCA